CCTTCGTATTCATACAAAGTAAACAGTGTCAGCAAAGAAGACCATAGCTAAATCAAATTATACAGAGGTCCATCGTATTCATACAAAGTAAACAGTGGCAGCAAAGAAGACCATAGCTGAATCAAATTATACAGAGGTCCATCGTATTCATACAAAGTAAACAGTGGCAGCAAAGAAGACCATAGCTGAATCAAATTATACAGAGGTATAAAGAAATAAAATTCCTACCCAGAGGGGGAACTTAAATACATTACTGCTGCATTGCTGCCTTCTTAAGTCAGAGATTATCACCACAGCTGAGGGGAATCATATCCTTAAGAATTAAACATTGGTTTGTCCTGTATCCCTTTGAGAATTAAGTGTATCATAGTTTATCTTGTATTGTTTTAAGGATTAAGAAAATTTAGATTTATGCTGTTTCATATGTTCTTAAATAGAAATGGGCATGGCATGGCCAGGAGGTTAGGGAGCTTGACTCGCAGTCTGTGGGTTGCAGGTTCGAATCCCCATTTAACCAAACATGCTCGCTCTTTCAGCTGTGGGGGCACTATAATGTGACGGTCAATCCCATTATTCATTTGAGGGTCTTTTTCAACACTCATATCAGTCGGGCCCAGCCCTCTCCTTTACGACTTTGTTCAGTGGAACGGTTGGTTTGCCACACTGTCTCGGCTCAGTCACTTGCTGTTCATGAGGTTCTATTGCTTTTGGGGGATGTGATGACATCACTGGGCCCCCTTGGTCATGCCCATATGAGATCCCTTCAGTGGGCACTTCACGATCAATGGAACCTTGCTCAGGATCCTCTTTCCACTCCCATTTCTCTTCCTTTTTCCCTGTGAGGTGATCTGCTTTGGTGGTTGGACAAAGTCCTTATGTCAGTGGGTGTGCCACTTCCTCCCCGCGTCCAGATCTACAACCTTTCACGGACGCATCCCTTCAGGGATGGGGTAGCATCACTTCCTTCTTCTCACCTGACATTGTCTGGTGATGATTCATTTGGACAATTCTACAGTGTTGGCACATATCAACCACCAAAGAGGCACCCGGTCCAGAGATCTATGTTTTTGGATGTTAGATCTCTTATACTGGACCCATGCGCATCACATTCATCTTATTGTGTCATGTGCCGGGTGGTTTCAACCTGGTCTTGGATCGTCTTTCACGCCCCAGTTGGATATATCTCAAAGAGTGGTCATTAGATCCCCTCATTTTCTTTGCCATTGGTGGGGTTCTCCCCACATGGATGCCTTTGCTATGAGCCTCAACATAAAGTTACCTCTCTTTTGGTCACCTTTGCCTCATCCACAGGCTCTGGCAGGATTGGTCACACAAGTATCCTTATGTGTACCCACCCATCTGATCACATCATCAGGTGACTTCTCTCATCCACTCCTTGTGGGATCCTCCTGATTGCTCCTTATTGACCAGCTCAGCCTTGGTTTCCATGGTTACAGCAACTGCTCCTCTCTCCTTCTGTCCCTCTTCCACTTTCTCCATACCTTTTTCGTCAACTTCAGTCACACGTCCTACATCCAACCCTTCATGTCCTGCATATTCACGTCTGGCTTTTGTCCAGTCCTTGATGAGAAGATCCAGTTTCACACGTCAAGTCGCTTTCTCGTTGGCTGGTTCTATTCATCCATCTTCCAAGGAGGTGTACCAACACAAATGGAAATGTTCTGTCATTGGTCTATAACTAGGGGGTTTCCCACTGTCTGGCCTACTGTGGCTCGTGTGGTAAATTTTCTTCCCTGGCTCTTTGACCATGGGTCTTCAGTCTCCTCGCTTTTGGGATATTGGGTGGACTTATCTCATACCTTTTGTTTTTCCTGATACTGTAGAGTTTTTACTTCCCCTGTTCTTACCATGCTCATGCGTTTTTTTTCTGTATACATCACCCTCCCAGGCGTCCTTCCCTTCTGAATTGGGATGTTAATGTGGTCCTCCATTTGAACTACTTTCCTCTTGTTCCATGTTTCATCTTTCCCTTAAAACATATCTCCTTCTTCTCTTAACCTGTGGACATCAACGGTCTGGTTTGTTTGCCGTTGACATTTCACGTACCCTTTATCCCGCTACCTATCTTTTCCTTTATTCAGATCGTTCCTTTCTCCTTAAGACCTCTGCAGCTTAGGTGGATGGTTCCTCCTTTTCTCCTATTTCCCTTCCTTCCATTTCCAATCTTTACCTTTCGACTGGATCCAGATAGGCTTCTGTGTCCGGTCATGACTCTTCGTTGTTATATTGCCCATACTACTTCCTTCCAGAGTACATGTTCTTGACTCTTTATCTCCTGGCAATCTTCCTCCCTTCGTGATCTTTCACCTTCTTCCCTTACCAGTTGGGTCCGTCTTTTGGTTCGATTGGCCTATTCCTCCCTACCTTCTTCCTCCCAGTATTTGTTCCAGGTGTCCTTCCATCAGATCCAGAGGTTTCAGTCTTGAAGAAATCATGACTCATGTTTGTTAGTTTTCTTGTTACCAGTTTGACATTTGACAAGAATTCTTAAATCAACACTTGTACTTATGATGTGAAATTGGTACAGTACAGGTTTGACAAGAAATTGGAAGGGATTTCATTGTTGTAATTTGGATGATATATTTTATTGTTGTAAATTAGATGACTCATGTTTGTTTCATTGTTGTAAGTTGAATTATTCATGCTTGTTTAATTGTTTATTGCTATTTGGTTTTACATAAAAGAATCATCTATCATGATAAAATAACAACTACAGTGTTACAGTCATCCATTATATGTCACTAACGTGACAAATTTCTTATAGTAGTTATTTCATAAGATTATTGTTATTATATTCAAACACAGAATCAAACATGATGTATGAAAGTCAACTGGAAATCTGTTTTAGAAAATCTTTTTAAGAAGGAGAATAATCAAACATCAATGTGAAAAAATTAAAAGTTGATTAGTCGGGTGGAAAATGAAGTGTTATTATAAATATTAAAAACACGGTGATACTACAAACATCTGAAGGAATATATAAACGTCCATAATTAATAATGTTTTTTGGTATTACTGTGTCTTTAATATTTATTCTAAAACTGCCTTTTTTTTTTCAGTTTCAGTGATTTCTGTTTTAGTGCTGTATATCCCAATGGTCATGTAGTGTACTTAGTATCTTGTTGAAACCAAATCAGACATCTGAACAGTTTTGGCAGATTTTATTTCTGTTTTTGATAGGTAAAGCTATAATTGAAACTGAAAAGGATAAATTTTTAAAACATAAAATAATTTTGGCTGTTTTATTTATTTTTATCATGAAAAGACAAGTATAAATCTTTTTATATGGTTCTGATATTTCTGCGAACCTCATAATTTATTGGTTAAAGTGAATGAAATAAACTTTGTTTTAGTGTGTACCTTTTTTTTTGTCATCAACATCTTACTCTGGCACATCTGTCCTCTGTAGTGTTTGCAACAAGAGTGAGATTTACAGGCTGTTCTAGGTGAAAAAGGAAAAACTTATCACCATTTAATTTCTTTAAATGAATATGTCCTTTTTATGTTTTTTTAATTATTTTTATCTTGCTTGATTTATTTTTTGTTATACGTTCTAATTTTGAAAGTTTCTAACGTTTGAAATGAGTCTAAGTGAATCTGTTAGAGTATTAAATTTGCTTTTTTAATACAAAGTAAATAAATGTTTGGTGTTGATATCAATGTTGTGATTTGTAGCTGTTACGTCATCAGCTTGCTCGCCAGAGGTCTGATAGTTTAGATGAAAGTTTTGACCATCAGTTTACTCCTGTAGAAAAGGAAGATTTAGTTAAACAAATGGAAGACTTACAATACAAAGTAAGTTTCAATGTTTGATGTTTTGAACTAAATGCTTCACACATACCAAGCAGTATATTATCTTGAAACTGTTTTGCTATGCCTGGTGAAATTTATTGTTTTACAAAAAAGGTAATTTAACCATTTTCCTGCCGTGAGTTCTATTACACGTAGAGTAATTAGAAATAAATGGCACCTTGGTCTTCTTTATTAAAACTCTTTCAATAAAGTTTTATCTTTGTAAGGTAGATGGCACTCACTTTCACCTCTGTTTCATCATAAATACATTGCTTAAAGCTTAGTTACGCTTAACAAGATAAATGTTTAGATCCAGTTCCTGTCTTATCCTGACCTTGGCTATGATTTTATTTATATATGCATAATATTATCTGTTCCATTATCACTGGTTTTAAGGCAACAAGCTCACAAGCTGGTGTGTTAGTTTGTCTTTCATTCTGCTCCAGTAGAAACTGAAAAGGATAAATTTTTAAAACATAAAATAATTTTGCCTGTTTTATTTATTTTTATCATGAAAAGACAAGTATAAAACTTTTTATATGGTTCTGATTTTCCTGCAAACTTCATAATTTATTGGTTAAAGTGAATGAAATAAACTTTGTTTTAGTGTGTGCCCCCTTAATATCACACTCTGGCACATCTGTTTTCCTCTGTAGTGTTCGCAACTAGAAAGAGATTTACAGGCTGTTCTAGATGAAAAGGAAGAACTTGTTACCGTTAGAGATGCATATCATCACAAAGTGAATAGACTGAACCAGCAGCTGAACTTAGCAATTCATGGCAAAGAGCATCGAATCGTTGATATTGATGCTGTGTTAATGGAAAACAGGTTTGGACCAAACAGACATTACGAAAGTATTTCGTTGACCATGTCTACAATTTTTTTGTTAAAGCTTTGCCAGCTTCAAATTTTGATATCTGTGTTTATTTACCTAATGTTCTATATTTAATACTCGTGTTATATTTTAGCTATTATATTGCACATTTTTTCAAAACACTCCCTGTTTGAAATTGAAAACAAAATCCTTTTTTTTTTACTAATTAAGTGTCAGAAGTTAGTTTAAAATAGTCATTCAAAACGAGAGTATTTATTATCAAGATTTTACATTATTTTGTTTTAGATACTTGCAGGAGCGTGTCAAGCAACTACAGGAAGAAAAGTTGATGTTATTGTCTTCACTTTCAAAATATAAAGTAAGTTTATGTTCTGATCGGGAAGTACGAATCACTAAATATATGTGTGTCTGCTTAGTTCTTAATTTGTAATTACATAAGTATGGCTTTTATTTTCTTTATTTTGATAACTAACTGCATACTTGCAGCTTCTGTCAAAAATTTTTTCACTCGAGAATTAAACTGGATTGAAAAATTTCTATTCCTTTCTAAAGATTAATCTTTGCTAGAAAATTAGTGAGAAAAATTTTCTTCTCACTCAGAAAATAGTAGCCCAAAAATTAGCAGAAGATTCTACTGACTAACTGTCTTCCCTCTAGTCCCAGGAAACCTGTAAGCCTTCTGAACTTCCCATTAGATTCCACTGTTTCCTCTGCTAGAGGAACTATAAACAATATCCTAGATCTATGGTTTGTTTCTAAGCCTTCTGCACTTCCCATTAGATTCCACTGTTTCCTCTGCAAGATGCTGAATATCTTTTGACTTTCCCATAAAACCATAAATTACTTCTCACTTAACTTTATTCACTCTACATTGATATAAATAATCCATAATCTCTTCTACCTAGTGGTATTTACAATTCCATGTAGCTATTTTAAAAGCTGAGCTTCATTAGAAGTTGTTCAGATCACATGCTGTCATAAAGGATGAGAATGAATAGCTGTAGTAATAACATTAGAGAAAGAGAAGACAAACAACACAAAACCTTGAGAAGAGATAACAGTTTATTAACATACATAAATCCATGCGTTGGGATAGGTAGAAAAATCCTAACAAAAAATCAATAAATGGTTCACGAGAGAAGTCGATTCCTTAGAGCTGTACAGGAATACAAGTACGAAATATTTTTGTTTTTGTCATTAAACTAAATAGATGTTACAAAATGATAAAATATCAGTTCCAAAATACTTTTTGAATAAAACTCTGTTGAAATAGTTAGAATTATTATGTTTTACTTTTACAATTTGTGAAATTAATATTCAGGCTTGCACTCGACACCTGAGAAACAAACCATAGATCTAGGATATTCAAAAAATCAACTTGCAACTTTCAAACAAACAGTTTAAAACAAAATTATTTTTGTAAGTGCAAACAATGTCGAGAGGAACTACAAACAATATCCTAGATCTATGGTTTCTGAACTTCCCATTAGATTCCATTGTTTCCTCTGCTAGAGGAACTATAAACAATATCCTAGATCTATGGTTTGTTTCTAGGCCTTCTGAACTTCCCATTAGATTCCATTGTTTCCTCTGTTAGAGGAACTATAAACTTATGACCAGTCCCTCAGGTAAGCCTAGATAGGCTTAGAAAGTAAGTTAGGTGATAGCAAAATATTCTGCTGATTCGAATCCTCATTTATTACATGCTGTTAAGATTATCATAATCAATCAATGCACATTAATAAAAGGACTTATAATTTAATGAAAATAAAGTATATTTATCGGATATAAATTGATTTCGACCAAGGATATTGTTACTTTAGTCTGACATGAAGCCATTTTGAAAGATCCTAGGTTGCCAATAAATCTTTGTCAGGTCATGTAGTTTTTTTAATAAGTTAATGTATATCAACCACATTGAAATTTATTAATATATAAAAAAAAAAAAAATTCTGAAATCGAGGGAAGTATTTCTAATATTTCTTTCAAAACAGCATCTCAAACAAAATTTTGGAAATTTTCACAACACAAAAAAAAATGATGAAAAACTAAATAAAACTATGTGATTGTTTGTAAGCCAAAACTGGATACTATTTAGTAAGTTTGTTTTAATTTTCGTGGAATTTGGATAATTGTGTCCACTGTAAGAAGGAAAAAAAAATCAAGGGTTATCATTGAAACCTTCTGGTCTGGAAGGGATTAAATCTTTGTTGTAAGGCTTTCAATCCTTTTCTTTCTGCAATTTTAAATGCTACAATTTGTTGCTGTAAAAATCTGTTTTGCCTAGTAATGTTTATGGACCTAGTTTGATACATAACTTTATGAAAATGTGAAGAAACAAACTGTCTGGACCAAAAAGTTTATTAATTTTTTGCCAAGACAATTGTTGTAAATTAGTTACTTATGCATCGTTAAGTATTTGTGTATCTCAACACATATATGAGTGAGTTCTTACACTTGTTGGATTGATACACTTGATCGTTTTAATGCTTTCTCTAGAATACACTGGATAAGAAGAGGTCTCGTACTGGTTTGAAGTTTGGAAGTGGGAATGGAGGGGTGTTAATTAGCAGCAAACAAGGTAAAAATCAAGCTATTTCCACCAAAAGTTTCTAGTTAAACATCATTAACAAATTTCTTATCTAACCAAAATCATCTTCATTTAGCTAATAATTTGTTTCTCCTAAAATTTCTATAAAAAAAAAAAGAAAAAATTATTTGCGATAAAAAATCACGTAATCCGCAGAATTATTTCCACATTTGTCCACTTCAAAATCAGAGTTGTGTAAAGATCTATCTCTTGTGTTGCAAAGGGGGACTTTTGTTCAATTCCGAGAACTGTAAAGAACCAAAAAAAAACCATTTGCAGTTTACGTGATTTTGATCAAAAATTTAAGGCCCATTAATCTCTAACGTTTTGTCAGCTTTCATTATTTAAATCATAACTTTAAAACAAAATTCTTGTGAAAGTTTTTTTTTTCTCCTTGTGAATTGATTAAGGGACATTATAAAATTTAGTTAATGATTCGAAAAATATAAGGTACATCGTAAGAGAATAAAATAGTTCAAAAATGCCCTTATAAACTATGAAGTTCAAGACTGTTGGCAATAGTCATAACCTAAACGAGACCCATTGCATATTTATGAAAAATAACCAGCATTAATTTGTGTGAGACTAAGTCGTCCTTGCATGTATCTCCATTCTTTAACCATCTGCGGAACATTTACTCCTCTTCTTTATTATTATATTGAATTTTTATTTTGTGTTCTTAGTTTTAAAATTCACAAAAGAGGATTTAGTATTGAGAGGTTAGAGTGCCAGACTATGGATCTAAGGGTCTTTGGTTCACGTCCTGTTAATGCAAAAAAAAAACAAATCATGCTCTATGCTTTAGAGCCATGAGTGTGTTATACGAGTGATGGTCAAGTCCTACTATTTTATTAGAGTAGCTCAAGAGTTGATGGTGGGAGCTATTGACTAGGTGCCTTTCCTCTTGTCAGTCACTTCAAAACCAGGACCAGCAGATAACCCCTGTATAGCTTTGCATTAATATCTTTTTTAGTACATGCATGACATTTTTTACCAACCACAATAATTCTCTTAATTCATTTAAACACATTTTCTTCTTCTTCTTTACGAATTGTATAGTACAACAACTTCTGCAAAGTAACCCTTTCTTGGATCTACCTAACAATCCCTCTACCCTTGCTGACCTCCGCACCCTTGTGATGGCATTGTTTGAATCTCTTAATGACAAAACACTGGCACTGTCTCACCAGAGGAAAGCCAACAAGTAAGAAACGTAGTCACTAACCTTGCCTTACTTAATTACAAGTCATATCATACTACTTCTTATTCATGTTATAGGTTTGTAGGTTAAGAAACAGTCACTAACCTTGCCTTACTTAATTACAAGTCATATCATTCTACTTCTTATTCATGTTATAGGTTTGTAGGTTAAGAAACAGTCACTAACCTTGCCTTACTTAATTACAAGTCATATCATACTACTTCTTATTCATGTT